GAGATGGGTCAACTTGCCTACCTGCAGAAAAGATAATAAATGCACCACGGTGTCTCCTGGCCAAGTCAGAAATGGACCCAGCCTCCAGCCTCAGTGAGGTATCTACCGACAGTGAGTGCCCTGCCCATAGATCGGAAACAGGGCTCACTCAGGGCCTCAAATCAGCCAGTGGTGAATATGGATGTAGGACTTTTGAAAGGATGCAGGCTGGGCTGTAATAACTTAGGGGTGAATTTCAGGCCTGAGACAGCGATGGTCTTTGGGGAATTATAATAAAATTGTCCACTGGGCCTGAGAGGGTCAGGCCTCCCCCCATGGAGTTTGGAACTTTTGGAAATTTCTGGAGCTTCCCAGCTTTCTGAACACTGAGCTGCATGGGAGGGGAAAGAGGAGGGTGAGCTCATTAAAACTTGCTTCTACTGCGTGCCCCGCTCACAGGGCATCTAACACTAAGCCCTTGGGGCTTGACAGCCTTTACTTTTCACCTCTATCTACCACTGTGCCAATGAATGCTGAGAGCCGAAGCTGCACTCAGCCCCTAGGTCAAAGTCACAATATCACCACTGAATCCCATGTGACCATTCACAGACACAGCAGACACAGAGAACTCAAAGGCGCGCAAAGACACACACATGTGAATAAATAGCTGTCGGCATGAATTCTCCCTCTGCAGACGAAACACTGTGACGTTACCATTTGAACTAGCAGTGTCATAAGTTAACATGTAAAGGAGCTAGCTAGCCAGTGCCGTTCACCTTTCCCCTTCTCCTGGGTGTGAGACAAATGGAATTGCGGGTAACCGTAGCAGCAAAAATGGTCTGACAGTTTGCCATTGATACGCAGCAGGCTGGACATCTTGCTTGGGTTTTCAATGTATTTCCAGCATGCAGGCGGTTCTTAGGCATTAATACAACATCAAGAGTGGGGTCTTGACGTGGACAATCTTAGCCTTCACACAGTTCCGTTCTATTCCCGATGCCTCCCTCTCTAGAGTAGCCGAGAGTCATCTACCCATTGGGTAGCAGGGCGCATTCTGTTAACAGGATCAGTGGTGGCTTGAGGGAGCTGAGAATGGAGCCATTGAAGTGAGGGGAGGAAGGATGCCTTAACTTTTTAAGATATTCATGATTTCTACATAGAGGGAAAGTACATTTTTTTCAAGGCACTTAATAAAAACATAAATTGATGCATGTGTATGTGTGTGTGGTGGGGTTACATACATCCGTGAATAAGAATTTAAGCCTCCTTGGGGCTGAAGCAGTGTGGTAGGCTTCTTTGTCCACGGTATTTACAGAGTTCTAGTGAGAACCAGCTATTGCACATCTGAGTCTTGATTCTCCCCAAAGGCCAGAGCGGTGGGTGGCTGTCACCCAAAGGAGAAATCAACACGTCTCTGTGCATACTGCTTAGGCTTTGCAGCTACGATCATAAAGCCCGGGCATCTCTTGCATGCCCTCCCAGCTGTTCTTTTCACCAGCTAGCGCATCTCACCGATGGGGAAAGCATACCAAGAACTCCTCTTTTGTCATCTGCCTCTGACAATGTGAAACCTCTCTATTTCCTGGTACTTAGAGACCTAAAAATGTGTGTGCGTGAGAGTGTGTGAGCGTGTGCTGCACACCCACATAAGTATGTGTAGACTTTAGAAGAACAAGGACGAGGGAAAAGAAAAGGCAAAACCATCAGCAGAGGTCCTGCAAGGGAACCTCCCCCAGCCACAAGCTCTGGGTCTAGATTTCACAAATGGCTCCTATTCGCAAAGTACTTTAAGGCTTGTCCGCTTCTAACGTGGAGGTGCATTTGTGGGTTTGGAAGTGTGAAGCTCCCTTTCTTGTTTCTCTTAATTCCCTACATAAGAAAGAACTGCTCAAGCTGACCCTAAAATGGCAATTTTCCCCTGGATAAAAAAAGTTAAAGGCAACAACATCCTACTTATAGATGCTAGGATGGGAAATGGCAGCTTGTTGGAGTGGCCGGCAGGGTACACACCACAGCAAATCCCTTAAACCCTAAGACCATCAGAGGGAGGGATAAGCCGATGGCTTTCTTGAAGTTTTATTTCTAAAGATGGAAAGGCTGAAAAGATCCTTTGCTTTTCAAGTGTTGATTAGAAAGAGAAAGCAGAGTATCATTGATCACTGCTCCTCTGAAGTCATTCTTCTGCCTCTTTGAGTTGCTCACAAACCCAAGAAATGAAATATAATTAACAAGAATAACAAATTCACAAACAAAATAGAACTGTGACCATGAAGAGATGGGCTCCTGTTTTTGTCCCAGCAGAGAATCTGGCCCTGTTTTGCAAGGACTCAGCCACCGCGGTCCTAGGTGGGCTATGGTCCCCTCCACGGCTGCATCTCCCTCCCCCCCTGTGACTCGCCTGTCTGTCCTGTCCATCCTTTCGGTACTCTGGATTGGTTTGATCGAGGTTATGGCATTCAGTTTCCAAAGGGGAAAAAATGTAATATTCACCAGCCCCTCCTGCTGGAGTGAGACCTCAGGTGCAATCCAGGTGTGATCCGTCAGGCCTCCGAGCAGCACTTCTGGTGGTTCATCTTGACCTTGTGCTTCAGGCCATCGTAGAGCTCGAAGTTGTAGTTTTCCAGTGTGGTGCAGCTGCGGGAGCTGAGGCCGGAGTAGGAGCAGGTGCAGTAGAGCAGGAGCCCCGCACAGGTGGCTCCCAGGAGGACCCCCAGCGAGCTCATGGCAATGATGGTGATGAGAATGGGGTCCAGGGTGTACAGCCAGCTTTTCTCTTTGTCTGCTGAGGGGTCTCTGGCCTCTGAGGTTGGGGAGGAGGAGTTGCTCCAATCCACCTCGTAATCATCTATGGCAAAACAAAACAAAACAAAAAAAAATCAGAGTTTGCATGCATTGCTTATTTAGAGGGAAATGACGGAGGCGTAGGAACCCAGGGGCCAGCCTGTCAGGGTTCCACGTCCAGCTTGGCTACATCCTAGTGCTGTCATTTTGGGCAAGTTAAGTCTGCCTCTGTTCTCCCATCTTAAAAACAAGGGGAGGGGAACATAAAACTGCCCTTCCTGTGTTGTTCAGGGACTTATGTGGACTATTTCTCAAGTGCTCAGTGGATGGCAGATTGTAAGTGATATTTAGCAGTCAGGTAATGTGGCTTGCATTAGGGTAACCACGGATTGTATGGGTGGAGTTGAGGGTCAAACCCACCACCTGGTGCACACTGGGCAGGCTTGTTACCCATGAAGTCCATCTCATTGGCTAACGATGCTAGGGGGCTGGTAGATGGTAACAGAGCCTTTGGGTACCTGTGGGGCCCGTGTGACCATGGCCTGCATGCCAGCCGTGCTTCTACACTTGCCCCCACTCCTCACTCCCAGCTGCTGCAAGTTAAGTCAGGGTGGCGGCTGGGGCTGTTTTCACGCAGTAGGCTTCCCAAGTCAGCCACACAAAGAGCAGGCTTTTTGAAGCTAGGAGACGTCCTGTGACATACAAGCCTTATTCTTTCAGGTTAAACTGTCCCCTCCCATGCATGTCACCCCCAACACTGTCTCAGAGCATCACTTGACTGTGTGGCAGGGTCTTTACAGAGGAAATCATGTTAAAACAAGGCCATGGGGCAGGCGCTCATCCAGTAGAACTGGTGTCCTCATTAGAAGGTAAAATTTAGACACAGACACGCCTGGAACATGCACATAGCCGTGTGCAGCCCTAGAGAGGCTTCAGAAGGACCCTTTCCTCTTAGCCTTCCGAGGGGACCAATCCATCCACACCTCAAACTTGTATTTTGGCCTCCAGAGTCTTAAGAGTGGACCTCTTGACTTTGTGGGACTGTTATGAGATCCTAGTAATCCAATGTCCTTACATGTCCACAGTGTATGACCAAGTCATGACGGGGCCGAGGGCCCATGTCCTTGGGATCCCTGAGAAGCCCATGAAGAAGGCCAGGTGATGCTATCGTGTTTATAGTGGGTGAGGAAAGGGAGGTGTGAAGAAACGAGGTGCCTCAGTCCTGGCCCAGAGTGAGTAAGCAGTTAAGGTAGGGATGGGAGCAGGCTCTCTAGATGCTGACTCTGCCTCTCTGTCTCATCAAGTGCTGCTGCAGCTCGCTCTGCACAGCCTCCGGTGTAGGTCAGGTGTGCGCATGCCCACAGAAGGTGAGGTGGGCAGGGTTTGGCAGGGAGAGCCTGCAGCCCATTAACAAGGTGTCCCTTGGGTCCATTGCTCTGGTTTCTATGGCTACACTTGAAGGTTTTGATTACGGTCAGGTTAAACAGCGGCTGACCTGTGAACTGCTCCTCTTGGAGATATTGATGTTAGTTTGAAGTTGTGCCCTGAGTGGAAGCCTGCTAGTGAGGCTTGTGGACACCAGCATGGTGCTCAGGGGAGCCTAAAGAGACCTGCACTGGTCTGAGAGGGCAGGAGATTGTGTGTCTGCCCTCCAGTTAAGACAGCTGTGTCAGCCTCTTGAGGTTTGCACACTTAAAGTGCAGGAATAAAGCTTAGAATAAATATGAAAATAGATTGCAGTGTGAAAAAGATGACCATGCCTTTAATAAGCCAGATTTGTAGTGTGGATAGTGTGACCAAGGTGTCCTCCAGGCTGGGGAACCATGTACCACAGCTGGCCTGGGAGAAGGTCCATGTCCACACTCATTCGCTAAGGTCTGTTTTGGGAGGTGGCCACAGGATTCCACCAGGAGCTTGGCTTTCACTTCCAAGGGTTTTTCCACATTTGAAGTCAACTGATTAGCAAGTGACTAAAATAGGAGACCTGTTTCAGACTAGGCAGAGAGGACTCAACCAAATTGCTAAATGTCTACATTTGACCTTGTCAAAACAATGGATGATCTATTCATTCTTTTCTGGATTCTCCATTTCTGTCTCTGATAGAGAGTCCTAAGTTCTGGCCCTGCCAATACCCTGGGCATTCTTTTTGCTTATATCTTTATAACCAAACTTGAATTCCACGGTTAACATAAGAATACTCACCATCAATGTCATCTCCGTAGCCCGCTCTCCCATGTATTTCTGGGATGTTCACTGTACGGAAAACAACAAACCAAGTTGTAACAAGTTCTATCATTATAATGAAAAGGCAAAGTTACAGCCTTTTAAAGAGCGATTTCTCATTAAGATAGGCAGGGAGAGAATCATCTCCACTTCTGGGTCAACTAGTTACGCATTAGTGAATCATTTCTTCTGCACGCTGTCTTTACTTCCAAAACAACAGGAAAAACAAATAATAAGAAAGACTGAGTTTGGTGCACAGTGAACTCTATCACTGTACCTTTAAAATAACTGTCACTCATTACCAGAATAGGTTTGGGTTTACCTGCAGCACCCTCAGTGGCATCTTCTGTGTGTCATCAGTTGCTACTGTGATGACACCCAGTACATGTTATGTGCCCACATCTAAGTGGACATAAAGTACAGAAATCTTCCCTTTCTGGATTTTAAATAAATGCTTGCTAATTTAAGGAAGCCACGTTTCATCATTCTGAGTAGAACCAGACTAGCATCTCAGTGGCCGAGTACTGTCACACACCTGTGACATCTCTCAACTCCCACCCACCACCAGTCTGTTTTTCCTAGTGGCTTTTTCAAACATGGGCCTCCATTCTGATGAGCCCAGACATAATCAGAGCTCAGTTAATTCACTCTGAGTTTCCCCCCAGTCTAATCACTGCTTATCTTTTGCTTCTTCTATGATAATTTTTGAGGGGCGAGTAATACAGGTCTTTCTCTTTACAATATTGTCCATCTTACAGAAATCAGAGCCAATAAATTTGCTGTCAAAAATAGTAAAATGTTGCAAAAGAGAATCAGATTTGTGACGAAGAGCAGGGGTCTTATAATTTCTTCCTATTTCTTAAGATAAGTATGACCTTCTAAGCCGCCCACTCGAGGTAGTCCCAGAGAATATATAGGGCCCTAAAGGGTTCTCTTCCTCCCAAGTCTGATGTCCAGGCTTGAAGATAGCACTCAGCATCTCAACCATCAAAGAAACAGTGAGGGGAAGCAAAGAAGCCTAGATTACCCTGAGCATGTTGTTCCTTAGCACTGTGCTTCCGGAAAGTCCTACTTGGTTATGAACAGAACTAAGGCTCTATCCATCACTATCAGACTTCAAATTCAGTCTTTTTCTGACACTAGTGGTTTAAGTCACAGTACAGGACTTCTTTATTCCTGGTCAAAGTGCTAAAGCGCATTCCCATCAGCCCAGCCTCTGAGAAGGGACACACAGAACCACTTGCCATGGCTCACTTGAAAAGGTCAGTGCCAGGTGGCTCCAGCTGTCTGTAATCCAGCCCCTTCCTGGTGCATTAATAGCACAGAACTGGCACCCACAAAGCATGCCAGCTTTCCTGTCTCTGTGCTCATCTCCTGCACTATCTCTAGGCTCCTCCAAACAGACTGTTTGTTTGGAATGAAGACTTGAATGTTATTCAACAAGAGGCAGGGGGTGCCTGTCACAGGGATCAACTGTGCTTGTCAAAGTTCTTTAACTTAGGAAAGAACAGAACATGGAAGAGAACTGTCACATTTCTGACAATTAGCCACTTTGACGGGATGCTCATATGTCTTCTCGTCTAAACGGTTAAAAGACGGAGAACATTGGCTAAGAATATGTGACTCAGATTCGAACAAGAAGTGCAGGGCTCCTGCCAGTGACTTCTGGGCCAGATCCTGTTCTTCCTTTTAAGGATTTGGTCTCTGCCAAGGATGTGACAAATTGTCGCAGGCTAGAGTACCATTGCACACCCTCCAGGAAGCAGGTTTAGGATACTATTGATCCTGGGATGAGAGAGACAAAGGTGACATTGATCTCGAAGGGAAAAGGATAAATGGATGGTAATGACTTCGAGGACATTTTATCCCAGGAGATCACAGCTTCTTGTCTCTGGAAGCAGAAGATTGGATGAGATGACTTCCAAGAACTGGCCCATTTTTAAGTTTCTGTGGAATCAAGAGCTCAGATGCAGCTGAGGTCTCTGCACCTGGAGAATCAAAGGCCACTTGAGGTGAGGAAGAACACTTTAGCGGCTTGGCTTTTTTGTGTAATCATTGCTCCCAAGAGTTTGGGCGAGGGGCCGAGAATAGGATAAGTTAATCAACATTTTCAAAAGCGCATCTGTTCACCAAATCTTAAAGCAAGAATGGTGCACTGGGGAAAACCCACATAAAGGGAACATTTGTACGAAAAGCAATTTACTTTGATAGCAATTTTCTCCAGACCCCTTGCTCATATTCTTGATATCTGTGTTTGATTAAGAGCTTTCTCTCTCAAGAGCTCTTTGCCTGTTATGGGCCACTTTCCTTTTCTGCTGAGCCCAGTAGGTAAACTGCATGTGTCTTCAGGATGCTGGCAGAAGGACTCTGGATCCTCCACTGGTCCTAGAGTTCTGGCAAAGTGAGGCCAGGGCAGTGGCCGAGGGAATCCAGGCTGTGAAGGGGGAGGTACTGGTCTCTCATGCGACAGAAAGAAGGGTGAACACGGGGCTCAAGGCAGAGTACGAAGCAGCCCCTCCTGCAGCATGGAAAGGGCGGTAGACTCACCGGGCAGGGAGAACGAATATCAGGGTGTTACAGGAGAAAGAAGCAGGGACTTCAAATTTTGTTTAAATAGGGGAAAACACAGAAAGGCCTTCCAAAGCCCTGCTGCGATGGGTGAGTGTGTTTGCGAGGATGAGGTGGGCTAGGCAGAGTGGGGTGAGCCCCACCTTTTCAAGCACCCACATGGGCAGCAACTATGACCACCTAATGACTCCCCCTTAAATCTTTGTGCTCACATGGCCCCACTTTCTTCTGGATACTTCTGTGGGTTTGCTCTCAGGCCAGCCTGACTCTACAGCCTGAATGATGACTTGGACACTATATTAGGGCCAAGTCTGCATTCAGAGTTTAAGGTGGGCAGGACCCGATCACTGTCTGTTCCAGTAATACTCAGGGTCTGCCCCGACTCAGGCCCTAGCTGGCTAAATGTGTGTTCTCTAGGTGTTTGCTTCCATCACCTTGGTGAGAACTCCTGGGGTTTTTGAATGTGAAGATGTAATGATCTCAAATTTGGGGCTTCGGGGGCTGGGGATTTAGCTCAGCGGCATAAGCGCCTACCTTGCAAGCAGGCAGTTGTGAGTTCAATCCCTGGTACCGATCAAAAAGACAAAAAAAAATTGGGGGCTTCACATTTTCCATAATAGGCGTCACCTAGAAAAAGAAGGCTGAACTACAGTCTGTCAAAGAGCAGTCTCCACAACCAATCAGCAAAGAACCCACAGGCTGTGACTCCTGAAGAGAGTTTACTGGGTGCCCAGGGACCACACAAGACTGCAGGAGATGAAGACAGGTGAGGTCAGATGTTGGCCACCAGGGCCCTTCAGAGTGGCTGGGGAGCAAAGACTCAAGGATTTCATGCATCATAAAGAGGACTCTGTGCTGCTGGAATCCAGGGGAAGGACTGGGCAAAAGAGACTGGGCCGATGCTGGCAAGGAACATGTAGGGGGCTGGAGCAGGCCTCCTGCATGAAGGCTGCTGTGAGGTGGCTTGGGGATTCCAGCTCCTTCTCTGCCCGATGGATGGGATGCCTTCCAACATGGTACCCATTTCGGCAGTACAGGGGGTCTCCTGAGTTTTGGTTTATATTCGTTGCCATCAGATTCACCAAGGAATTTAGAGATTGCTTTGCTTGACCACACATCTTGTGTTCTGGTCTCACACACATGCAAGTGGGAGCTCTGCAGACCCCTTTCCTTTGCCAGCGACAGCAGGCCAGCACATTGAGAGGAAGAGATGAACTTGGGAAGATGAGAATGGAGCCGGCAGAATAGCTTTACTTAAAAAGAACCCAACTCAGCAAAACCTTAAACCTTCACACTGAAACATCTTCACACTGAAACAAATTTTGAGTGGAAGAGTTTCCTTGTTCTCCTAGGTATTCCTTCTCTTTGCAGGATAAAGAGATCGAGAGGTACATGGTGAAGAATGACCTAAGGTTCCTCCCATCTCCCATTGTCCTGAATTTTCAGAGGGTGAGACACAGTGGCCAGCTATTAAACATTCACAGACTATTCCAGAGACTTCCGCCCTCGAAGAGTCAAGTATTCTCCAGAGTCCTTTTCAGTAGCTTGCAATGCAGTGGCACACATGGTGAGCAGCCACGCCCCATCGAGGAACCTCTTCTCCAGAACAGCGTTCTTCCTGAGCAGCCTGGAGCCCTGCCTGCTGCTGGGAGGCCACACAGGTTGGGAACACCCATGACACTCCTACCTGAGCGGGGAAGTCCCCACGGAGCACCACTCAGGTTCCAGCAAGAACGTACCCTCAGTCTTTCCGGGAACCTCCCCCAGCACTATTTACCCTTCCTCTCACCCTTATTTTCTTCCTTTTTCTAAATTAGGATCCTTTGGGGTTAGCGTTCCTGCACTAGCTTGTTTTTCTGCAGTTTCTCATGGAAAATTCACAGCCGTCACTTTTCCTCCTGGTTACTGTGGTCTACTGTGAATACGTCGGCCTTGACAGTGCTGTATACTTTCTGCATTATAAAGGAACCTCACGGGACAGCAGGGGACTGAGCCATTGGCTCGAAAGCACTGGCTGCTTTCAGCCCAGTAACTTAAAACAGTCTGTCCCTGGCTCGCTTGCACACAGATCATTTCAGGACACAGACATGCCTTGGTTTTCTGTGAAGAGCCCTTCCATGCCAGCTGAGTAGCCCATTAGGAGGCCAGGTTTGCCATGCTAAACGTGTAGCACAGACTTGCGGGACAGCTCAGTGGGTCACTCTGTCCCTGAAGGGAAGTAGTGGAGGACACAGAGGAGCACTAGATAAGGAGAAGTGTCGACCTCTGGTCTCAGCTATGCCCCAGGATAAGGGCCTCCAAGATCATCGAGTCTCTGAGTCTCAGGGTGCTTCTGAGAAGCATCCAGTGATGTGTTCTATTATCTATGCAGAAGGTCTGGACTATGAGGGGGGCCTCCCTGAGGAAGGCTCAGTGGCTGAGGTGTACAGGGGGCTTCTAACCAGAAGAGCCGTCACCCCCACTGCCCACTCTCCGCCCCAGCTCTGTGCTCTCTTGGAAGTGACCACTCTCTGGTGCACATGGAAAGAGAAGGCTATGGAAGGTCAGCCGCAGGGCTCCTGGGTCTCAAAAGGATCAAAGGGCCTCTCCACAGAGGAAAACATTGCAATCATTCATTTTCACAGGTACTAGGAGTCATTGCTTCTACTTCAAAGGTGAAATTGAGGAAGGAGGCTTGAAAAACCATAAGTTGTTAAAAACATCAGCAGTGAATTTGAGAGTAAACCACAGATTTTCAACACCTTGTTGGGGGCCTGTGATTTATTTGGGATAAGCTTTTGGCTACTTAGAGCCTTTGTTGAATTTGATTCCAAGCTCCTGAGTCCCCTGCGCCAGCTAAATCACTGGACCACTTAGAGGGGAGGAGCCTTCGGAAAATTTAGCCTTTCTGTTTCAATAGCAGCAGGAAACACAACATGGAGATCTCAGTAAACCAGAAATAATGGAGGACTGAGGATATATTTCTTGGCATCTCCAAATGCTTAATTCAGTTTAACATTTAGTACTGGCTCAAGGTCTTCCCACCCTACCACACTTAATTTCCCTAATTCAGTTTGTTCATCCCCAGCTGCCACGAGCAGCCAAGGGTTCAGCTGTTGATCGAAACTTTGCCAAATCTCCTCCATCAGAAAGTTGGGCTACTTGAGAGCTGTTCATCCCTTGCTGAGTTTGGCTTGAGCTTAAAAACTCAGTGCTTCAGAAGAAACCAAAAGATCCCTTATCATGGATTTTTATCTCTTGGGCTACAGTCAAATATATGTAAGGTCATGGAAAAATATATTTTGGAGTTTTTCATAGAGTTGCAGGAGAGAAAAGTAAAGAGCACTTGGTACAAGATTATTGGACCAGTTTGATCTTATTGTTTTCTATTATTTTTAGCTGAATAACTGGGAGGAAGCACTAAAAAGGTTTGGAAATTCTGACTACAAACAAAAAGACTGTAAATGACCTAACAACACATTCAAGGGTGAGGGTGGGTGAGCAGCTGGGGCTCCAGGGTCTCCACAGAGCCCCAAGAATGATATGAAAATAAGAAAAATGTAGACAAAGACGTGGCTCACGGTAGAGAGAGGCTTCACAATGGTGTGGGCTGGAAAAACTCAACACTGCTAAGGGGAGGAATTCATGGAATTTTTTGAACCTCTATGTCTTTGAAAAAACCTGAGCTATTTTCCAAGCCTCTAGCAGATGATGTCAGCAAGAAATAGGTTCTTTGTGCTTCTGATGCTGGTTACTTTTTCTTAGGGTAGAAAAATAGGAAAAATTTTTCCACTGCAAACTTTAGGGAAAAAAGGTTGCCCCCTCTGTCTGCAATATTATTTTTTCCTGAGATATAAGGAGGAAAATTCTGTGTTTCTGTATCAGGGAGTTTTCCCCAGTAGACTGGATATTTTTTCTACAGCACCGCTATCCAAGAGGCCCACAAGCTAGAAACCCAATCCAGGTGGAATGGTGTGGTGCCCCTCCACAAGTGCGAGGGCAGAGGGGAAGATTTAAAGCAACAGCAATTTACATTGTGAAAAATTTCATCTTCTTAAAGCTGGCCCGCTTGTTTTGTAGGTCTTTGGAAAAAGCTCTGTTCACATGCAGATTATGAGGCGACCTGGCTAAACTGCACTTAAAAGCTGGGTTCGTCTACATGCACCAAGGAAGGAGTTTGGGGTCTGAGGCTTTCCTGAGCCTCAAATAGGTGTCTGTCTCTACCCAGTTGGGAGAGGACGGTCCTCTTAGCTTTCTGGTAGTTGAGGGCTGTAGTGAGGCTGAGTGGTACTGTTGGTGTTAGGTTAGTTTTCCTGTACGAACACCTGAACTTGGAGTAAATAACCAATTCAGCATTTACATGATGGAATCCGACCCATGGTTCTCTGGGAGCAGGGTCCGGCAGAATGGGAGTGGGGGGAGGGCAGGAACGGCAGGGTGGGGGGAGCCGACAGGGAGCACTGAGATGGGAGCAGGCTGCAAGAGCAGGGTGGAGGCTGATGACAGGCCATACCTAGTGGGAAGGCACAGGGGTAGAGATAGGGTTCCCTTTGGGGACAGGGGTGGGGACTGGCCTCTCCGGAACTGAGGAGGCAGAAAGTAATGGTGATCCTACGGGCTCAGGGCTTCCTATGCCGCTGTTTCGGGGATCACACTCTTATTAATCTGCAGGCGGTTTAGGAGAGAGCTCTGGGACTCCTCACTCACCAAGAGGCCCCAGTGAGTTTCAAATCCTGTCTTCTCCTCTAAACCAGCAGCTGAACAGCCTGAGAGAAGCGTCAGGGAGGTACACACCAGCCCCTCAAATATTTATGTCCCTTCTCTAAGGCCCTTGTGGGTAGTGAGGAAACCGAAAGGGACACAGAGGTTTTTGTACTAAAACAAAGCTTCAGTAACCAGGCGACCAGCCGAGAGCTGGACCTCGGTTAGGGCCACCTCTGCCTCACAGCTGCCACCGCTGTCCCTTCATTGCCTTCTAACAAGTCCCAGGGAGCGCTAGGCCAGGCCTCCTGCTAATGAGTCCTGGGGCCAGAGTGAGAAATTACTGTTGTTGAAAGCTGAGGTCTAATATAATATTGTTCCAGTTCTGGACCAGAACCTTTTCTTGGGGAATGGAAGTTAATGACATTAAAAGAGCTCAGTTGAGCACCATTATGCAGAGAACAGGAAACAAAGCGTGGTGTACCTGGGCTGACATCTCTAGGGCTCAGGCTCACATTCCTTTCTTCCTGAGTTTGACATGTGAGTCCCATCCAAGAGGCAGCAGCCCTAGATTTTTGGGCAGGCCAGAAAAAGTCTGCGAAGCACATTGATGGCTGTAGCTGCTACCAGAGTCCCAGCACATGATTAAGGTCCTTTGGTCTCCGCACTCAACAGCAATGGGACAGTGCTTACAATAGAAACGGTGTTTGGGGCTACAAGGCCTCTTTGCTGCTTTTCTCCTGCCACTCCTGGCTGGAGTCAGGTGGGGCCAGCGACTTTGCTGACACACATAAACCCCCTACTAGAAAACAACTTTATTGCCTGGCTGCTCAGTGCCTTTCTTTTGGTCCCAGTGGGCCTGAGCCTCCTCGGAAGGAAGCCAGATGCCTCTTTTAGCCCAGGTCTGCTCCTCTCAGGGCCAGCGTGGGCAGTGGGTCCCAAGACCCCAAGGAGTTAAGACTTTCTTCTGGCATCTGTGCCTGCTGCACAGTACTGCGCATTGACCTTAAAGGATGTTTTTGACATGAATTTTTAAAGAGAAAACATAAATAAATAACAGCCAGGCATAGCACAGTCACTGTTTGGAGAAACCAAGTGGAACTCATTAATCATGGAGAACAAGACGGTCCACGGAAGCCAGGGATGGAATTAACCCCTTTTCGGTGGCTTCCACTGACAGCCAGGCCCAGGTTCCCTGTAAGCCGGCAGCTCAAACTCTAAAGGGGAAGCACTTTCGGAGTTTAAAATCCCCTTCCGTGTAGACTGCCAGTCTTCCCTTCCAAGCGCTAGGCCCATTTTAGAGAAAATGATGGCCACAGAGATCCTGTGGCTTGTGTGAGGTGACCAGGGATCTTATAACCCAGCACGTCCAACCAGTCTCTGTTACTCTCCAAAATGGGGACAAGACCTCCATCCCTCATTTGCTGCACCTATTTAAATGAAAACAGGAATGGCGTTTGACCTAGAAATTCCATCTGAAACAGGTCCTAAAAAGACAACTTCAAGGATGCCCATTACAGAATTGTTTATAATGGTAAAACAAATGCACACACAAACGAAACTCAACACAAGCTAAACACTCTCTGGTGGGGGAGAGTTAGTGAACCGTGGCACATCCACAGAGTGCCATGCAATGGCTAAAAAGGACTGGGTAAGTCTCGGTGAGTCCTGAAGTATCTCAAGACATTGTTGTGAAAAGACACAAGCTGTCCAATCAAGTGAACAGACAACATCATACCCTTTAGGTGTAACAAGACAGAATCTCAGCTAAACCAAACTACGTAAGTGACAGGAACATGTATCTTTGTAAATGTATAAAACAAGGCCTGGCCTCAAATCCTATCGGGTATTACCGCTTGGATGAGTGGACTTGGTCAACAAGCAAATGGACTTCTGCTTTTCTTTATCATCCCGTCATTCTGAAGTCTGTATTATTTCTGCAAATGCAGCTATGTATAAGTTGTGAATTGCAAAGAAAGAGAAGTGCAGCTAGTTATTATTCTCAAAGGCCTCTCAACAGCTTTGTTCACAGCAGCAACCACTCCAGTGTGTCTCCAAGAAGAGATGTTTACCCACCCCACAGCCAGCCCTGCCGCCGTGCCTCTGTTGCTGACCCTGCCAGGGGTCCCTCTCACATCTTGGTCCAGTGCCCATGGAAATTTACTTGAGTTTCTTTGTCTACCAGAAGTAAATCTCAGAAAAGCCCAAGAACAATTACTCTACTTCACAGAGAGATGTTTGTTGGTCTCCCACCCACGGGTCTTTGGGCAGGAGTGGTTTCTGCTTGTCCCCCAAGGCTCCTAGGTTCTCCACTGCTCCATCTCATGCTAAAAGGGGTTTGTTTTTTGGTCATTTCTCTAATCTGGTATCTTTTACAGTTAGTTTTGGGGCCAAAGAGAACTCAAACCAGTCAGTACAAACACACTCTGTTTGAGGCTTGTGGTCTGATGACGCCTAAGGATGCGGGATTCTAACTGACCCCCACACACGCTCGGGGGCACCTGTTCTGTGTTAGGCTTAATTAACTCCTACAGTATTCCTGGCTTCCAGCTTATTTATATAAGCTATTCCTCCTCTGCTGATGCAAGATCATCAGCTGGTGTTTCCCTTGCCCCTTCTTTTCCTCTGGTTGGGTTTGTTTTGTGTTTTCTTTGGGCCATCAATGAAGTGGATGAAAGGCAAATTGCAGCTGTGACAGCCCCAGAGCTCTGCACAATTAAAGAGAAGAAACAAGCCCGCACCTACTGATCTGTAGTTTGGCTGAGATGTGCAGCCCACAATGCAGACAAATCACAACTTCAAACTGAAGCTCTTTTCAGCACAGATTACAGAAAGGCCGTAACGTGTGCAAAGCAACTGCCAACGTGGGGAAGAGAGGCTAGGAAAACAAACACACTGGTTTGGCGGGAGTTTGGGTATCTGGGCTAGAAGGGCAGTGGCTGAAGCAAGAGCTCACTTTTAAAGCATCATAAAGGACAAGGTAGGAACACAAACACACCATGCTGGGCCTTGACATCTGGTGTTTATGATCCATGGAAACATGATTTCTGTAATATTTATGCTTGGGCTAAGTTTGAAACACGCTAAGGAATGTTTACCATTAACAGTTCAATGTGTAAGGTTGGAGATATACAGTCTTTGCCCTTTGGGAGGAGAAAGAATATCCCTAAAATAAGTCCCGGGGCTAGAATCAAGATGGCATTGGTCCTAAAAGTGGCTCCAAAAACAGTACCGCTAATGGGTCGTGAATAATGGCTCATTTAATTCAGTCTGGCAACTTTGGTTCTAGTGCAGCTCAGGAAGATGTTGACTGAGCCTGGATCTTTGCTTGAAAGAAACACTTTTGAGATTCTCGCATTTCATCTTTTACTGATGGGAATGAATGGTTGTAAAGAAAGCCAAATGTTTAGACAAAAAGAATAACCGTGCTTGGCATCAAAGGAAGAAATAATGTTCTAAAGTTCTAGCTGTGGCTGTTTGATTCTGTTCTCCCATGGAGGACAGATAATGCCATCGATCCAGAATCACCTGTACTAATAGCTTCCCGCACAATCGGAAAGCTTATCTCCTCTTGGCAGCTCTTGAAAAGGCTTTACAGCTATAAAAAGTAATCCTTACTGGACTAAAGTTTGGATTAGACCTAGAAAAGCAGGACCCTGGCAGAACTAGGGTTTACTGGTCATATGTCTCCCCTTGAAACCTTTCAGGATGGTCCTGTGTCCTCCAAGGAAAGCTCTCGGGTCGATGGAAGATTCTGGATACATGTCATGAATGTGGGTTGTGGAAAACCCTTGAATCATTAGGAGATTGTATTTCCTGAATGTTTTTTTTTTCCAAAGCTCCCTGTGATTAAAATACTTTCTAAAACCATCCCACTGACTATTCCAAGAGGGGTCTAAAGAAAAACACTGATTAAGCAAGATCAGGCTTTTTGACTAAGTTGCCCCAGGCACAAGGTTCTTCTAGAATACTGTATTCCTGTTGTGAAATGTTCCACTCTGATAGGTTCACAAATAATCATACAATTATGTTCATTACCTGTTTAAAAATGAAGTCTAGACTATCTGAGCCCTGAATATCCTACAAGTTTGATTTTTCCCCCCAATGGAAAAATCACTCATAAATTGGAGATCGACATCCCCATGGCAGTAATAATTTGGAAGGGGAGGGTAAGGTGTGCTACTGCTTTGCCAAAGGAAGTGAACTGGCTCAATAGGGCCGAACACGTGATTCAGCAGAGCTGGTCCACTCCTCCTGGGGCCCTTCAAAAGTAGAGTCCAATCTCGGAGGATTTGCCATCAAGAGAAATTTTATGGAATCACATTTAGCAATTTAGCACCTAGCAACTTTCACAAAATCCCACACCAATCGCCAAAGTTGGCTCAGCTGCACAAATTGGATGAAACTCCTAACAAGCAGTAACAAAAATAAAAAGATAGAAGAGCTGGCATTCAGCCTTTGAGGAGAAAACCCATCTACCTCCCACAGAAATGCCCTGTAGCCCAGAAGGCAACGTGTAAACTCTGGAAACATCAATTTGTTCAAAGCTAACACTTTAACTTTGTTCTCACGGGCAAAGAGAAAAAAACCCCAGATGTTTGTATAAAAATATCATCATTTTATTACATTCCACACAATACATTTTCAAATAGTTTCCAACATCCACAAGTTATTTTGACACACAGGCAACAGAGCAATGCAAGGATGTCACAGTTACAGGGAGAGGGGGATAAGAATGGGAAGTGAAAATCTTTAGGTTTTCTTATTTTGCTGTTGTTCTTTGGTAACTTTTGATTTTTTAGGTGTTTGCTTGCCTGCTAGTTTTCACTTTAAGAATAAAGTTTTATTTTTAAAGATGGGTTATCAATCTCAGAAATATTACTGGATTTCCTATTCTGGTTTTGATCCCCAAAACTTGGGAGAAGGGAAAGGGCAATTTTAGCATCCTGTGTTGTCAGTGGCAATGCAATAATTTTTCCGTCTTCTTTTTCTGCCTTGGCCAGCAGGAAGGGCCTTTTCTTTTTAACCCCAAAGCTAAGGGCTCCCCTTCTGGAAGTTCTGTCATGAAACCTCTACTGAGGCATAAGCTTTACTGCTGAGCCAGGCCTTCACCTCATCCATTCACTCATTGGTATTTTAACAGCTGTGGTCACCTCCTTTCTTTGGAGAAGCAACTCTTGACACATGCATGCATGCATTCACCTGTCCAGTCCATTTTTTTTTTTAAAGAGAGTAAGTCTTCTCTCTCTCTCTCTCTGTGAAATATAGTTTTGTTTTGTAAAGCTGCAAGGCATGGCATTTTACAGAAGAGCTGCCCTCCTAGCACAGTACCCGGATAATGCTATGAAAGTTGCCGGCTTTAGGGGGACAGGGGAGTGGAGAGAGAAAGATACCCAGCTGAAGTATGCCACCAAAGACACCAAGATCTGGGCAGCTGCATGCTGTCCGCCTGCCATGGAGTGCACACAGTGGTGAGGAGATGCTGCTGCCCAGGGTAAAGACATGGCAAGATTCCCAAGTTGTTGCCCTCTTCTTTTAAAGATGGAGACTCCCCAAGGGAATACGGCAGCCCAGCCAGCTGCTGCCCTGGCTGGGTTTTCCAGATGTGGTTCCCTGATTCCCCACCAGCATCTGTCACTTGGAGTCAATGTCTGGCCCCAAAGGCTTAAATGGACATGACATGGGCACCTGCGATAAAGCCCTCAGTGGCCACAGTGCCAGCCACCGCAGGGCGTCCTGAGCTGCTACACCGCCCCCCTCTAGTATCAGTTGGGATGGGACACTTCTCGCAATCTCAAGGTGGCCAGGCCTTAGTCTTTCATCTTCCCTTCTCTTGGCAGGGCTGCTGTGGGTGAGGCTGAGTAGCTCTTTGAACAGAATAAGAGTAGCAGAGCACTGTTCTTTCAGGGGAATGAAATAACCGGATGGGGGTGCAGAGAGTGAGTGTGGTGTGCTTTCTCCCAAACAACCAAAAAAAAAATTTTTTTTTTTTTTTTTTAGCATTCTATTCTGGAAGGTACCTGGAGGCTTCCAACACAGGCAACCCATCTTTTGACAGAATTTTACACTTCCCCAGTGGATGCCTAGTGGGAAGGTTAAACAAGCAAATGCCCCCAAGGCTGAACTTGAGTATGCTACACTGAAAAATCTAAAATACACCTCTCCCTATCAGTGAAACTGACTTTACTGTGTAATCCACACTTTGCACAGTGTCGTTAGGCAAATGCCTTCTGACATCCTTTTCTGTGTTGCCTCAAGAAGACAAGCGGCCAGCAGCGACAGAAACCTCTTTATTCTACCTTCTCTCTGAGCAAGCAGCAGCTCCTGGATACACAGCCAGGCCGCCCTCTGAGGGTGAGTTCGCCGGCGCTATGAGTGCTTTGGAGGTAGCACACTTAAATACTCTATTCCTTCTATTTTCTCATAGTGTCTAAGTAGGTGGACTCTTACAGTTGAGTGGTATAGATTCAGGCACACATTAACACCATGGAAGGAAAACAAATGATTCCCCTTTCCCCCACATATTTTACAGATGCTATTACAATGATCAATAGAATACCAAAGAATATGGTTTTTCACCTTCTTACCCCCACCCCACATTGGGCCAAAGACCCCCGGAATGAGGAGACTTTTAAGTCATTTCAGCCCTTCCTTCTCTCCCCTTTTCTCCTCCTCCTGCTCTCAGTTTAAACAGACTAGCGCTTTTCCTACACCAGTCCCAGGTTTGCTATTCTTTATGACTTACTCCATGATTGGACTTAACCGATCAAAGCTAAACATTCATTATGAGCTGCTTTTTTTTTTTTTCTATAAGGCAACATGAGACAGATTTGCTTCAGGGCTGGAAATAGGGATGGTTCCACACACACCTGGTGGTGTTATCTGGGGACTTGAAAAACACCAGGAGATGTGACCAGGGGGTCACATGTGAAGGTGGGGAACCTTCCTCCTGGGTGGGGGACAGGAAGAGATGGGCCACACTGCGTTCCGCGTGGTCCGTTTTACTAGGTACCTGGAGATGACAATGACAGCCAACAGAAACCCAGCCAGAGCTAGATAAGGCAACAAAAAGCTTCAGTCTCTTCTCCAAGTAAACAGAACGTGGACAGGACATTGTTTTCGTGTAACAGGAGGAGTAACATTGGGTTGAAAGGGGCCCTCGTGACACACACTCGGAACCCCCCATGAAGCACTCCATCACACCCAGACATACACAGAGCTGTTCACACGCGAGTGTACACTATGTACAGACACACAGAGCCAGGCTCCCCTCAAGATGCCTGGCGGCCTGCCCACAGGCGCGGGGGTGGGTAAGGCAAGGGGGCCGAGCGGACCAGCTCTGGAGGAGCCCGGCAGCCGTGCGTGCGTGGAGGGCGCTTAGGGGCGTCTCTTCTCATCGTCCGAGATGCAGCATTAGACGTGGGGTGTGTGGGTTCAGAATTGCAGGAAAGAGAGGAGGCAGGAAGCGGGAAAAACAAAGAAGAAAGGAAAAACGAAAAAGAAAAAGTAAAAGAAAAGAAAGAAAAGCAAAGACAGTGACCCGGAGGAGGCGGTGAGCAGGGCACGGGGCGCGGAGGGGCGGGGACGGGCGCGCTCACACCAAGATTAGGTGAGGACCAAAAAGTGCAAAATCGAGGCCACGGATCTGCAGGCTTTCTCGCTCGGGGCGCGTCCTTGCTTCGCCTCAGCAGCGCGCGCCGTGGTCTTGCTCTAGCTTAATGGTTAGGGTGGGCTCCACCGCCAGAGGGGCCCCGTTGGTGTAGTGGGAGGTTTTGTAGGAGATGGAGTGATCGGTCTTCTTGGCCGCATAGCGGAACCGGTGATAGTGCAGCGCCAGGGCCAGAGCGACGGAGACCAGCACCAGCACCGCGCCCCCGGCGGCCACCGCGTAATACCAGTAGGCTGGGACAGGTGGCACGGGCACCGTGTCCACCGTGGGCTCGGTCCCCGGCGGGAGGGTGCCCCCTGGGGGAGAGACACAGAGAGCGTTGCTAGGCGAGAGCACGGGACTCACGGAACATTACTTTCAAAAGAAAAGGAGAGGGATGTAGAGACACACAGGGCGCATGCTCTGGGTTGCGCATCCTGGGGAGCGCTGAGCTCTCTGAACAGCTCGGTGCTGGTGCTTCCTGGGGCCTTGGTGGTGCAGGGACCACTTCCCACCCAATACTGGGCGAATGAGCTGATGGAGGCTCAGAGAGCTCTGATCAGATCAGCCGTGGTTATGCAGCTGGTGGATGCTAATGCGGGTTCCACCACCAGCCGTACAGTTGTGGAGCTGCCCTTTCTGCTTAACCATAATGACTCAGTAACATATAGAAGAATCTCTCTCTCTCTCTCTCTCTCTCTCTCTCACACACACACACACACACACACACACACACACACCTGGGATTAGATTAACAGACTCTCCAAATGGTGGAAATGCCATATTTGGGCTGGCGGGCCGGCATCCTCCAAGAATGGATTAATTAGGCTGGCGAGACTTGAAGGTAAATTCCACTCCGGCTTGCCAGGGCTTCTGTGCCCGCTCAAGTCAGCCTGGTCTTGTCTACACAGGTCAATCATCACTGTCAAGCAATGACTAACGCATTTTCATCTCCTCCTTCTATTTTAATTGGATGGAGGATTTTGAAAGCAGATTGGAAGGGAAGTTACAACAGAAAATGTGGGCCCAGAGCTGTGGAGGGTACAGGAGAGGAGGAATGAGTGAGGAGGAAGGGGAAGGGGAGCTTCCTTAATCATGGGAAAGACAGAGAGCGGAGGAGAAGCCAGCAGGAGATGTGGAAGGCAGACTCCTTCACTGGCCAGCCGCTGGTTGCCATGGCGATGCTGTAGTAGATTTAAGCCCAGGGTAACTGGGGGAAAGACTGGCTGGAGTCCCACTTGATACAAAACAGCGCTACAACTTGATTCTCCCAAAGATTTACATCAGAGGAGAGCCTGGCCCAGAAAGGGACTAAGCGCTTTGGAGCTTGCCAAAACCAGACGTGATCTTTACTTCTGAAAAATGATGTGCACTTAACCTATGAAAAATGTCTCCCTGACTGCCTGCATCAAGTGCTGGTAGCTTGAAAGCTGTGTCCTCTCTTCTCCTACATGCCCCAGGAGGGGAGCTGTGGGAGGTCGTGTGCTCCCTTCCGTCTGTCATCAGGGGTCCTAAACCTGGGTGACTTGGAGCACAGCACAGGGGTCAGTTATATTTTTTGTGCTCTCCCGTACTTGAGCAAGGAAATCACTCTGATCTTGGTTTCTACCAAGGTAGGTGAACTCAAGCAAAAGTCTCTGATTCAGAGGCAGTGTTCCTCAGTTCCTATAGCCTGAGCCCCAGTTTCATGGGGGAACAGCTGAAAGGTGCATCACATTTGCTAATATCTTCTCAAAAGTGTTGGAAAATGAGACCAGTTGTTTTTTTCTTGGAAGATCTTATTTTGAAAGATCACTGCTTCCTCCAGTTTTGGGGCTCTCTCCCACTAATGTCCAGGTTCCCTGGTACCTCGTGGGTCATCAGAAGCCCACATATCTTGAAAGCAACAGCCACCTGCCTGGTGTGCAGAGGACCCCAGAATCCCAGGTCCCCCCAAGGCACTTTCCTTTCCAGACCCATCTTCTCCCACATCACCGAATGTTTTCTTTCTTTCTTCCTTGATCTATCCTGGTGCTCATTCTTTCTCTTGTATTTAGAGTCATATTGGAAATTATGTATAGAAACAGAGAGAAAGGGAAAGCAGGTCTTCATTCTGGCCAGCTGGTGAGCTGCAATGAATGAGTGTCAACTCATGATTCAGGTCACCAAAAGTATCTGCTGCCTGGCAACTGTCCTGCCATTGGATCTTTATCTGAGCTTCCAGAAATATGCAGGCATGACCAAAGTGTGAGGGGACGGGCCTGATTTCCCCCGAGCCATCCCTCTCCCCCTCACAAAGCATCCTAGGCTGTGTCTCCAGTGAGGGCCAGCTTCTAAGGTGGCGGGGGCTCCCCCAGCAGAGGAAGGAAAGTGGCAAATACACAGTGAGGGAGTCCCCCTCCGAAGTGCCTGGCCGGACCACAAAGGCAGGCGCACAAGCAGAACAGCTGTAACTACCAGCTCTCCCTGCACTACCACACAGCTCAGTGCAAAAGCTTGCTTTCCTTTAGTCCAAGTGCTGGTTTCCAACATTAAATACACCACCCAGGCTCCAGGCCCTGGGGAAGGATGGATGACACCTCAGCTCTACTCTTAAAGCACTTCTGATGGTAGACACCTGGGGCCCCGTGGGGGAATTTGCCTTCCTGCCTGAGGAAAGTTAACTCACAATGTGTAGAGGACATATTCAGAACTGCAGAACAGACCCACTGCCTGGAATTGCATGCTGCTTTGGAAGATAGACTCCTCTTTAGTGTAAGGCCATCACCCTCCTGCCAGTGTCTCCTTCCCCAAGTTTATCAACATGGATGTAGAAGACGTTAGTGACAAAAGCCATTTGGGGACATTATACTACCTCCTTAAATGATTTCCTTGGTTAGATACTTGGAGAAATGAGGAGATACACTATGTAAATTTATGCTTTTAATGTTAAGGGGGTAAGAAGATAGGGGATACAACTGACAATGCTTTCCTCATTCCCCAGGGAGTCACCTCTGATTTCTGGGTGACTTGTATTTAGGTCCACAAGTTTCTCAGAACTTGTGGAGTTCTCACAACTTGTGGAGTTCTGAGAACTCCAGTTCTCAGAACTGGAGTTGAGTAGAGACTCAACTCCAAAAGTAGTTGGAAAGAAACCTGGTTTTGTCCCAGATTTGAAGGGCTGTTGGAACCTGGTTCTGACCCAGGCTTGAAGGGCTGTGTGCTGACAAGGCTGTGTTTGTAAGTGACAGAAAAGTGTGGTGGTAAGTCAGTTGGGATTAAGCCCTGTCCAAAGCACCTTTCCAGACAAGAGAGTCATTCAGTGAATGCCAGATGGATGAGTGAATAGATGGACAGATGGATAGATAGATAATTAGAGGAATGCATTTTGGAGGAATATTCAAACTCCTCAGTACTTCACAGAAAATGCTGGAGATTCTGCTCACTCATATAGTACCTGGATGAGATGGAAAAAGGTGTCGGCATCAGGTAGATGCCACCTGCACCAGGTGCCCGGGGTGATGAGTAGCTTGATTTCAGCCCCATTTGCTCTTTGGTGCTATAAGGTATCTGGGCCATTGCTTTACTTAGAAGATGCCTGGGCGGGTTGCTCTGAGCCTGGAGAGGAATGCTGGGCAGACCTTAGCCTTGCCTAGCACCAGTGATATGCTGACACCTCTCTCTGATTGCTCTAACATCTACCACGTACTCGCATACGTTTCTTTTTTCCAGATGGAAACTGTTTTCAATTCCTGAACTATTTTTCATTAATCTCCGCCCCCAATCATCCACAAATTTTTCTCATTGTTTGAGGTAGTGGAAAGCAGGTTATTTAAATCACCCATAACTTCACATGCGTTTGCAAGGTTGAACAGCCTTCCAGCTGTGAAACGTGCTGAGCCTCTGGAGAAAAGCAATGTGGATGCACGGAATTTCAGTTTTGAAAAACAAATTCTGAGAAGCCATGCAAAGGAAAAAAATTGCACGTTAGGTAGTGTTCCTTCCACTGCTATTTATAAATAGGGTCACTGATTAGTGAGCAATTAGGAGACATGGTGGTAACCATAGCTACAATGAGTGGACAATTTCTGGAGGTGAGCGGTTGGTCTATGGGCTGCATATGAATCGTTGTTGATTCTTCCTGACCCTCTGGTAGTAGATATGAGGACTTGAGAGAAAAAGTTATTTTCTCCTGGTTTCACTAGAGAAAAATCGAGGAGGATGGCAGAGAAGCACATCATGAAGCTCAAGAGAGGCCCATACGGTTGTAAGTGGTAGATCCAGGGCTGGAACCAGGTGAGCAAGTCTTAGCCTGTGTTTCACTGGTCAGAGAGCTAACTGCAACTCAGGGGGGCAAGCCCAGCCCACTGCCTGCTTTTATAAATAAAGTTTTATTAGAACATAGCCTTGTGTTTGCCTACTGCCGATGGCTACGTTTGTGCCACAGTGGCAGAGCTGAGTGCTTGCAACAGAGACTGTATGTCCTTCCTGTAACGCCTGAAGTATTTACGATCTGCCTTCTACAGAGAGTAGGGAGAGAACTGGGGGTGGTCCTTTGCCTTGTCACCTCCTAGTCTGAAACTGTCTGAGGACAGAGATGTTCTCACTGCATCCCTGAAATAAAAGGCATCTGCTATGCTATATCCCTGGGACCTGGAGGGGTCTCCCAGGTTCCCCAAAGAGGTATTTTGAAAGACATTGGTAGTGAAATTTCTCTCTTTGCACCTAAAATCCATGCAGGCCTGGCCTTCCCCAGCACTCCTTTCTGTACCTGTTGTAAATGAAGTGCTACTAATGGAATATTCAGGAGAAAGGTTTATTTAATTTGTGAGATTAAACAAACAACAGAAAAAGCTTGGCTCCTCTAGCAAAGTTTATAGAAGATAGTGGAAAAATGTGGTCACACCCTTTAATTTGTTTGGAAAAAGAAGGCTGAAGTCAAAGCATCCCTGAGAAATGACTTTTCCCTTGTTTTATGAGCAGTGGACGGCGGGAGGGTGATCGGAAGTTTTCAGTGAGCTTGCAGAAACCGTGTGGGCCTCCCCATGTGTCCCCACCCTGTGTCTACGGCTTCTAAATTTAAATTTAGATTCCGTGGCTGGCTGAGGTCTCAGACACTTCGCAACCTTCTTTAAACTAAAGCTTTTCCTTCACATTCTTAGAAGGAGAAGTTTCCTCCTGCCCTCACTCAAACTGACCTAGGCCACTGTGTGGATGACTTTAGATCTGCTAACAACTTGTGAGGAGGGGTCAGGAAGGCAGCGTGCACACATGAGAACGCCCCCTTGTTTGTGCCCCCAGCACAGAGGGCAGGCCCGCAGCTATGTGCCTCACACATGCACTCTTCCCCCTGCCTGGCTGCGCGACACTTTGCCTGAACCTGACAGCTGGAAACATGGGGCAGGAGGGGGAGAGAGGAGGATTCACACACTAGGGCAGCCTCTCTGGAGCCTGGGCAGGGTTTCAGGACACTTCTCTGCCTTTTATGGAGAATTACATGCATGAACACTAGTTAGCCCTCTCCTGGTCTCACAAGTGCTTCTAGTACAGGGAGCCCAGTGGAAAAGGAAATCCAACGAGAAAGAAAGGTAATCTGAGGCTGGGTCCCAGGACTGAGTCCTGGGATGCGGGATGTGGCAGCAGCTTCTGGAAAGCAGGCCTCCGGGGACAAAGGCAGGAGGGGAAGAGAAGTAGGAGCAGGAAACACCAGCAATCGGCCAGGAGCACAGAGTAAACAGAGCCTAAAGCTTGAGGCACAGATTGCCACCCAACTCTAGCATCACCCCAAAATGCCTTTGATCTCATTATCCAGATAAAAATTAAGAAGCACAGGGACGGAGAGGCACCTCATGAGACCCAAAAGATGGTGTGCTGTGCTGTCTGATATGGTCAGAGACACACACCCAGGTCCACAGCTGTCTACCCATGTGGCTGTGCCTTGGGCACTGCTGACATGAGCACAGCCTCGCCTGGGTTTCCGAGGCTTGTAGCAGGAGGGTTATCAGGTGCATCTCTGCTCCTGCAGCCTGCGGCCTCCAAGGCCAACAAAACTGGTCTGCACGGGGGCGGGGAGGGGTGCTGCTAAGAACCACCACCTGGTCAACGACCACAGAACTCTGATTACAGGCTTTCTGTATTTTTACTGGCTTCTTTCTTATGCTTTTTTCTTTTATTGAAAAAAGAAAGTATCAGGTAAGAGGAAATAATCCATCACCTTAATTACACACTTTTCAGTCTCCCCCCACCCTTTCCCTTTATTCACAGCTTTTCATTTGTTAAAGCTCAAATCCCACGAAAAGATACATGACGGCACTGTGTTCATAGCCACTGCTTATAAAAAAGAAAAGAAACACGCACTCCTAGGCTGTACCGTTTAAGATGTGACTCATAACAACAAAAGGTCTAAAAAATTGCGTGACAGCACAGTTGGGGCGCCCTCTTCTCCACCTCCCTCTGTGCACAGCCTTCCTCTCTGCAGCCTCGCCTTAGTCCTAACTCACTCCAGCACACAGTCTGTGTACATAGGCAGCATAACACACAGGCGTTTGGAATAAAAACACAACGTGATATGGCAAGAAATCAGCGAGCACCACAAAGTGAGACACTTTAAAATATAAAAGATCAAGAACACCTAATAAGCCAGATCCAAAGGCCGCTTTTATTGCATTTTCCTAAAGATTTACTGAGTACGCATTGATCTCTCCTAATGAGTGAGATTACTTCTGTCACAATGTTAATTTACAATGGGCAAGAAAACCCAGGTCAACTCAAAAAACACAGGACCATGTAAACGCCCATTGTTAATGGTGTTTCAGCATCAGTTTCCATATCTTGCCTCCTTCAATCTGATTTCCATTTCCCCCTTTTTTAGTGAAAAACCTAATTCTAAGCGCTGACCAAGGGAGGGGGTCCTGCTGTTTCGCCCCAGCATGGATTGAATATGTATCACTATGTTAGATGGAACACACACACATACACACATGGTCCTCTTTCCTCTCCCAAGATGAAAAGTTTGCTCACATGAATACACAGAGAAACACATTGAGGCCAAACACCTCTAGGTCTGAAAGATGCGACCCCTCAGTCCTGGGTTCATCCAGCCCCCAACGTGCTTGTCAGCTTTACAACTGCAGCCATGGCCCACCCTAAGCAGACTCCCCAGTACCCCTTGGAGTGTGAGGGAAATGCTAACCCTCAGCCACTAAGCCCTGTGTTTATTTTGGCCAAATGAGCACTGCCACTCGGATGAGACTTAGCTATTTTTCACACATGAACATGACTGGACACTGCAGCCCTGTGACACGCACGGCTCCCGGGAAAGCCTGGCTTGTTTATTCTTGCACGAAGGCAAAGCCCTCCACTATTGATTGCACTTGTCAGTCGTGCCTGACACGGTGCATGCACAGCAGGGTGTCGCTGGCACGGCTGCCAACACGCTGGGCACCCACATTGCTGGGAGGTTCAAGTCTGGACTGCCCAGAGAGTCAGAAGGAACAACTCGAGCAGGTTTCCCTTCTCCACCCTAAGCGTGACCCGGGGTCCTGAGGCTTGGAACTTGAATTCCTCTGTGAGCCAAGTTGCTCAGTTTCAGTGTCAGCTTTTCTGCTAATGCTTTGGATTTGTAGTCATGGAAATCTTAAACCCAGAGAGCACTGATACACGGAGAAGAATAATCTTGACATTTTAAAATGTATAATGGGGAATGGTGGGGTTTGGGGAGAACTGGGACAGTGAGAGAGACAGAAAACTCTGTGTGACTCTGTGCTTTTCCTCTGTGCTGTCACTTTTCCCCTTGCTATCATCTCGGGGTGATGGGTGGCAATCAGGTATGCTGATCTGGCGTCAGGGAGAACACGCAGGTGTCAAACCAGGAATTCACCACCCTCCAGCCAGGAGCAGGACGGGTGAATGAGGGTGAAGGTGGGTTGGGGCATGGGACACAGGAGAGGCTGCCCTGACCCAGAAATGCCATCCCTGGAGGGTGCTGCCCAGCTGCAACCAACGGACTATCCTAGCCCTCAGATCACTCCCACCAGACAGGTCTTGAAAACTCCCTGTCTTTGGGTGATGGTGTCTCCAAGTGTGTGTCGCACTCTGCCAACTGCAGGGAAGCATTTAGAGCAGCTCCTAATCGGTCGGCTTTAGCAGCCTGGATAGAAACTTTGGCGTCCACCAGCTGGATTGCAAGGAGGGCCAAGTGTTGAGTCCACTGCACACACACACACCTGTCACCCGCAGCTGGAGCCCTCCCCTCGCCAGTGGGGCACACGTCCCAGATTAGTCTTTCTTGTTCTGCTGTCTGTTTACACTTTGAGAGAAACTATCCTTTTCTGCATTTTAGGCCTGGATTTAAGCGCTCTTTGGTCATTGAATGTGCCCCCTTATTCCCTTTGGCAGACATCAGCTTCTGACTCGGCCGACTCTCCCTTGTGATTATTACTCTGGTGTCTGTTCCCAACATTCTTCCCTCACAAGACTGCCAGCCTTTTCACCCTCTGGGGTTAATTGAGACCGCCGTGGCCTTGGTTCCCTGAAGCTGCAGGAAAGCCATCTTCAGGCTAAGACAGATCCTCCCCACCTCATTTCACTTTTAATTTACTACTGATTTTTTTTTTTTTGTTCAATCTTCCCAGTCTCTCTTTTCTCGCCACTCCTGAATTTTCAGCCTCATTGCTCCCTGTTGGCCAATGCAAGGCTGCAAGGTTTATCTGTAACCTATTTGTCTCTATTATAGGTTTCTAAACTTTAATTAAACAAGAGACAGCCAGCATCTCAATTCCCGCATCTTCAGGTGTTGTTGGTGCCATCTAGTGGTGGGAAGGTGAGGCATCTATTTTCTTGTGAAGTCTGGTCAAATTTGGAAGTTTACGCCCTCCCCTCCACCACTACCAAATTCACATCACATGGGGAAGGAAAAGGCATGCAAAAAAACAAAAACAAAAACAAAAATTTTTTTTTTACCTTTAAAATTCTCACCTGCAAAAGCTGACATGGGTTCTGGAGAAAGAAAACAAGAAAATTTGAGTTAGATGAAGGAAAGAAATAACTGGATTAATACAGTGATGGTGATGACTTCCATTAGGTTATGCAATTGGAGATACTATTATAGAAAGTGCCCCATCTCTGCATTGTGTCCTTGACTGTGTCCAGCAGTCCTGATGCCCAGGTCCTGAAGGTTGCCCGAGGGGTGGGGCGATCTCAGTGGCATCTTGACATCATTAGGGGTACTGGGACCTGTGGGCCCTGAGGACCTGCCATAGTCCGGGAGCTGACTGAAAGCAGATTCCTGACCTTCTCAGGAGCTGCTCCTTACTCAGGAGTGTCTGCCCCTCTGAGGGACAATGGTCAGGCTTCCCTGGAGGGTGACCTCGCAGCAGTTCATGGCCCTGGATGAAATGAGTACCTCTGAGCAGGTGGCCTGCTGTTTGGTTGAGCATTTCTGACCGAGGTGGCCATGGCTGCATCCTTCCTATGCTGACCACCAGGTATGCAGGGTATGACAATGCCACTCCAGGGTCTGGGGCATTACAGTGAAATGTGCCTTGTTCTCTGAAATTTACTCATGTAAACGAACACCCTGGGTAACTGAGTTGTGACTCTTCTACAGAGTGCACACTCTCCTTGCTCCCCACTGAAGGCTTCTATTAAATCCATCAAACTTCCCGGCATATACTTCTGAGTGGCAGCTGCTCTCATTCTGTAGCATCTGCTTTGCTAAAAACTGGCCTTGGCACCTGGAATCTTCATCTACTTCTAACCAGGAATATGGGTCTCAGCCTTTGCCTTGGCTCCCAGGCTCTCCACCCCGCAGTCAGTCTAAGGTACTGACCCGTACCTCCCTGCCTGCACAGACCAGCCTGCCCACTGGAAGAGTGTGCTTGCCAGTGGCCAGTTTCCTCCTCCTGTATACCCCAGCCCTTGGTGTCTTATTTGAAAGAGCCACAGAGAGATAAGGAGTCACGTACCCATGCAGCTATCCAGCGGGACGTCAGTGCTTATCCGGATATCATCAATGGCGATCTCTCCCGAATGTCCTTTGCCTATCACTCCCTCGAACACAATCTAGAAGCGGGAAAAACAAGAGTCATGGTCAACTAAACTTCTTGGTCCAAATGCAAAGACTTCCAGCTTAACTGTAGCTTAATGTGCTTGAGTGTGTGCGCAGGCACGTGCTTGTTACTGCACCTGGTACACATCTGTTGACCACATGGCTACAGCTCTTGAGATCTTCATTTAAAGACTTGGTGCAAATCAAATGCATACTTGAGAGTATAAGCAAATGTACTAAGGTGGGGCACTGTTGTCCAGTAACTGGAATGTACTGGTTAAAAGGACCATGATCAGGGTGCAGTTGAGACTCCCCTAGCTGTTTCTGAGGATCCTTTCTCCGAAATCTTTCAAATGCCAGGCCTAAAAACTCAGAGGGTGTGAGCAGGTGAGGGTAATGTGAGAAACGTGCCTATGGGTTCAGCTTGCCTTGTGGATAGCATTCCTCAGGGCTCTGGTATTCCAGTGGGAGGGAAATGATTTTCCCTTTCCCAGAGGCTCAGAGCACCTACTGTGTGCTGGGCACAGGACAACCTCCATCCCCCTTTGCTTAGAGAAGCTCGCAGTCTGGTGGGTGTGATAAAAATGTACTTGTAAGACATGGATTGGGTTAGGAGTAGGATCCCCAGGCAGGGCTGGGAGGGGCTCAGGTTGTAACCCTAACAGGGTGGCTAAAAGCAGCTCACAGCAGCCCCGTGCTCTGCGCTCTCCAGCCCTTCCACATCCTCCAGCTCTCTGCACCGCGCACGTCCTCTGGCAAGCAGCTCAGGAGCAGTTGGCTGCCTCTCCAGCCATCTGTTGCTGCTCCTTGTCTGGGGAGGAGCAGGTTAATGCTTTGGCTGCTTTTCAGTCACCTCATCCACTGTGTGTCTGCTTCTCCCTGAGAGGCAGCTATAGCCACGCACGCCCCTCTGTGCCTCAGTCTCCTGCTCTGTGGGGCAGAAATGACAGAACTCAGTTCCTGCAGTGGTCAGGACTCTCTGGAGTCCACTGGCCGAGCAGTGTAAACCACATCTGTGCTCCTGCTCCCATCTCCTCCTGGACTCGGAGGGGTGCCACAGCCCTTCCCCTTGTGTGTGTAGAGGGTTTGTTTGTGTTTATTTCCCTGTGCTTTGTGTGTCTTTGTCAGCCTACCTGATAGCAATCTAAAATAAAATGGAGAGAAGAAACATTTGTTGGAGAAGATTTCAGCAATATAAAAGGCAACAGGAGGAACAAAGAACCAAGTCTGGGTGTAGAGATAGGCACATTCTGAATAACAAATAAGAGTGTCATTTAGTTGCCATGGCGACGGGAGAAGCACAATGAAAACAGCAGGGCTTCACGGCGTCCCTAATGATGAATGGGCATGGCCCTCTCAAATGCTGGATGGGGACCACACGATTACCCAGCCTCTCCCCTCCCCACTCCACCTGGTACTCCATGTCATAGCTGGGCAGGATGATACGTCCGTGCTTCCACTGGCCGCCCTGGTCCTCGCGGATGACCCACAGGAGCTTGCTCTCCTGGCTGGCTTCCCGAACCACCTGCAGCTCCACCCCACGGCCGCCGGTGGCTTGGAACTGGAACTCCAGGCACACAGGGCTCCGCGGCAGGTGCACCGGAGGGCTGATGATCCGCCCGTACTGGCCGGCTTGCCTGCTGTCACTCTGCATCCGCAAGAAATTCCTGTCATCTGGGGAAACAGACCCGAACAGGGATTCCTGGTAAATGCCAGGGAAAGACACTTGTTTGCAGCTGTGGCTCCCACCAGGGAAAGTTGGGATGGCCGCTTGGGTGTTTTTATTTATTCATGTTCTTGTTCTCTAAGTCCTGTCTCTTTCCAGGGCTTCTTGGAGCCCTGATTCCAATGCTGTTCCCTCCCAAATCCCTTTCTAAGTCCCTCTGAGTCACACGGGTCCTTCCTGTTTCTGTGCCAGTCTTGGGTCTTGACTGGTTGAGTATGGGCTTGCCTTCTCTCCTGGGTTCTGGGAGATAGGACTCACGGCTTAGTCATCGTGGGCGTACTACGGGGCCACTGCGGTCTAGAACTGAGTACAAGGAACGGTTTACAGGGCTGCAGTGGCTGTTAGATAGGGGGTGACTCTGGCCAGGTGGTTGGTGATCCAGGCCTTTGTCATCTTGGCTGGTCACTGTCCAAATGGAGGACATTTAAAACCTCCTGTCTCTGCCAGTGCTGCTAGCTGAGCCCTGGACCGCAGTGACTGCAGCTCAGAAGCCAAGGTCAACTTCAAACACAACAGGGAGTGGCTGAGCAGGGTGATTTGGGGGCCTAACATCCCTCCCCATTCCTTGCACACCCCTCAGGGCCCAAACTTGGCCCTTCTCAAGCTGCTGGGCACGCACACAGGTCCAGCAATGAAGATTAGATTACTAGCATTCACAAAGGCTGTGTGTTTGGCACAGAATATACATATTCTATGAAATTATGGCTTCACCAGCCCAAATGTTTGGAGAATGGCCCTTCTGGTGGATTGGTGTCAAATAATCAGACTCTCATGCCTCAGGCTGAGGTCTCGTTACCACTGGCAGACACAGGTGCCAAGGTTGGCACCTTCAACTCTAGCAAGTGTGGGGCTGGGCCATTCATGCAGAGAGCAAGGTGCACCCAAGGAATCTCACTGCCTACTTTCAGCCCAGAAACAGAGGGCATCTCACACTGGACTTCTGCAGGGGCAGAGACAGGCTCTGCAGTTCTGTGCCCGGTGTGGAATGTGGGCACAGTGGACACCTCAGTGTCACGTTAATGCGGTGCTGTATCAGTCTGAGACGTGTGCAGAGCTTTTTCATTCCATCAGGACTGTGAACATCCCGGAGCTGCCAGGGAAGGGTGGGCAAGGACTCCAGTGCCCTGCGTCAATGGCACAGTGATCAGTGGTTTGTCATCACTCCTCCTGAGATCCAGGTGCGTGATGAGACAAACCTTCCCTTAGCAGCGCAGAAAGAGCTCCTTCCCTGCCAACTCCCTGCCGTCCTGCCCACTATCCTGGCTCCCCCGAGGCCCTTCCTGTTGTTACACCCTCTGGGATGACTGCTTTGGGAGTCAGAGGTGCCCTCGAGGACACTCTGTGGGATTGTAGTTTGTACTTTCTCTGCATCCAGCCAGGTCTGTTTATATACCCTACCTTACAGGACCTCTTCAAGGCCAAGCCAGCACAGATAACTAAGAGGCAGCGTTTCCAGGGGAGAATTTTAATGATGGGGTCTGTGAGGGCGGAGACCCCGATATCACAACTAACACTCAGTGATATTCTAAACGTACACTCCCCCATCAGATCTTTGTGCTACTACTCTTAATGATAATAATTACAACTCATATTTGCATAATGCTTTGCAGGTTACAAAGCACACAGGTATGCCTTGTTTCATCTGCTATATGCTATGAGCTAGGGGATTATTAAATTTTGCTCATAATGAAAAAATTGAGGCTCACAAAGATGAAAGCATCTTGCCCAGAGGTTGATTAAATGGAACTTTCTACACTGCGGGTTTTCCCACCTTTCTGCAGTAAACTGTTATTTCAGCCGCCCCTAGGGAGGCAGACAGTTCCCCCCCAGGCTTGCTGTGGCCTCTTCTCCTCTTCCCTTAGTTCTTCACTGCCCAGTTCTCTACCTAGCCCATCTCTTGTGCCAGTTGTTGGCCTAATCATTTTGAAACAAGCAATATTAATATCCTCCTCTTTCAACAACTCTAGCATGTACCGACGACGGTACCACAGATCTTTACCAGCCCTTAAAGATGGGAGGCCGCTTTCTGTGGGTTCCATCAGGTGACTGCCCACACTCCATGGTGCTAAGGGTTGACTGTTTGGTGGGAGCCCTTCTTATCACCTCAGTAAGATTGTAGGGTTCTGGTCTTGTGCATATAAAGGTTAGTACTCCTTTTTCATTCCCCTCTTTCTCTAGGCAGTGTTGTTCCCTTACATACACACATGAATGCATGCATGCACGACACACACAGAGAGAAAAAGTGCTACGAAGCTGGATATTGGAATCCAGGATGCAGGGTCAGTCAGCTAGCCTCTGGCAAGCTCTTGGATTCACAGAATCCCTTCACAATTCCTTCCATTCTTCTGAGCCCACAGCCCCTTTCAAAGGTAAGCTGAGTTAATGACAGGGTAACCTGTGGAGGGACCCAGGGAGCTGAGACACTGGCGGGAACCCCCAAAATATTTCTTTGCTCTCAGTAATTTCCAAGTCCTGTGACTGTTTCCACCTCAGCTTTAAATGAAGTCACACTTCAGAGACTTATTTTTCAGCCTCTTCCTTCACAGTTTCACAAATAAGACCCACTTTCTGCCTAAAAATCTCTTGGCAGAAATATTGTCACTTGTGTGAATTTGCACTCTCACACACAGGCCAAGCAAAGCATAATGGGTTGAACGGGGTAGGTGAAATGTGTCCTGGGTGGTGAAGAAGAGGCCGACTGGGTCCACCCTGCCTGTTACTGCCAAAGATCTCAGGGCCAGCCTCTTCCAGGGCCCTCAGCTGCCCCTCCTCTCACTCTCATGTCTTCTCTTCCCCCTGTCTCTCCGCGGGATGATAATCACTGTGCATGATTTAGAGGCCACTGCTAGAGCAGGGAGTTAATGCCAGTGGCGTGCTAAGCGCGAGCAGCTGAAGGATCATAATTCAGCGCTGACATCTGAGCTAATCCACCAGTTTGCAGAATCTCCAGACAAGCAGGCCTCTGGATTTCACTTAGTTAAATCATTTGTGCCCCACTTGTCTGTTAAGTGCTATGAGCTCCAGGGAAGAAAGATGATATGTAAATTTAAGGAATTAGCAGTCAACATCAGTCAGAGGGATGCTGAGCTGCAAAATGTCCCCGCCTGTCACCGAGAGAGGTCTGATTAGAACCAGGGACACCATGAAGGAATAACTCACACTCAGGAAAGCCCAAGGAAAAGGACAGAAAAGGCAGGGGGAAGAAAATGAACAAACTGTACCTCCTCACGTTGAATACACACTGGGGACTTCACTGAATGTAATCTTGCCTATGGAGATGCGTAGTCAGTATTATTTTCATTTTTATGAAAAGAGAACCGAGCTCAGAAATTGGAAGTAATGTGTCCAGGACCTGTGCTGGACAGCAGTGGTGGCGAATCTATGGCATGGGTGCTGCAGTGTGCTCTTACCACTGGAAACTAAAAGTTTCAGTGTCACTGCTATAGAGTGAGGAAGGTGGGGTTTGACCCCTGATGGAGCTGAGTAAGCTCACCAGGGCGTGGCTGCTTTCCCAGCCCAAGTGTCCCTACCCTTTCAAAGCTCTGGTCCTCCTTTCTATCAAATGGCTATAATAACAGTGTTTGCATGGAGCTGTGTGGAGGAGCAGGTAGGAGGAGCCATCGGGAGTGAAAGCCCAGTAACAAGAACTCCGAAAGAGCTTAATAAAAGTTACTGCTACTGCCACGTACACTGTCTCCTACGCAAAGTTAGAAGGGTAGACAGACCACACACAACCTAGGAAAGCCAGTCTAAGACTCAAAAATAGGGATGGTTTGGCCCAAGAAAGTAGAGATCTTCTGCTGGACAGGCCTGACCACCAGATCTGCCTGTTCCCAAACCAGCCAGCCTGGCATTGTCTACCACCCAGTGTGTACCTACAGTAGATGACATGAAATGCGACGCAACCCTAGAGCGAGGCCACCTCGGGGGACCCCTTGGAAGAAGCTGTGATGAGCCCGGGAATATGGTCCGTACCCCACTTTTCGTGGCCTCCAGAGGCAGTGTCCACAGACCATGCCAGCATCATGCTGCCAAGGTCACAGCCCTCACTGTCAGGAGCTTCTCACATTCGGTTTTAAGTTTTTCCTGCTGCCGTTTAGATATATTTCCTCTTTCTGTGTCTGATGGAACACAGCCAGTTTCTGTCATCTGACTTCGAAACTAACATTTTCACTCAGGAAGACTTAAGACCTTTAGCCTTTGCTTCTGCAAGAAACACAACACTTGTCCTTTTAAATATTTCCTATCCGGGGCTTTGGTTACGGGGTGACAGGGGGCTCGCGTTGGCCCCTCTTGCAAGCTAAATGCTTTGGTTCTGTTAAGTTATGGTGCCCATGCAGAGAGGCTGAGATGGCACGTGAGCTGTAAACGCAGACTGTTCTGCACTATTCTTCCACAGCCTACCAGGATGGAACAAGATCTGCACAGCAGGGAGGAGCCCCTCTACTGAGCTATTTGGCCTGGAGGAAAAGCCCCTTGGACTGTCAAGAGGTTGTCTGAACTTGACACCTGACCTGCTGGAAGTTGCCTGCTTGTTCTCCTGTGGCCGTCATGCCAGCCACAGATAACTTCCAACAAAAAGACAATGGAAAGGAAGTATGTTCTGCTGCTGAAAGAGAACGGAGGAAAAAAATGTCCCAGAGCCACAATCCCCCTCCTCCCGACCTGACGTATTTGGCAGGCCTTTGCTGAGTCCCTGACTTGAAACATCTGTTGTTACCAATGATACAGGGAAAACAATCACACGGGAATGAACAAGAACAACAGGGGTTCAAAAGGGCGGGAGGAAATGCAGGGAACAGGGTCGCTCGGGCCTTGCAACCTGCCGCTGTCACCGGGAAGAACCTCTAGATATTTCACCTGGCAATTTACGGCCCCATCTGGCTGCGGTGGCTTCAGAGTCACGTGAACACGGGACCGTGGCCGGCCCAGCAGCAATGGATTTGGC